GTGGGGGGGTGTAGATGGGGGCAGGAGGTGGCGAGGTGGTGTGGTAGGCGTTGTTGAGGGGGTACTTGGCCGGCTGGTTGTTCTTGACTCTGGTGAAGTTGATACAGCGCCCCTGGAAGAGAATCAGAGGAGATGTGAGTGATGGCTGTGCAACTGAGCAGGTGGGGAGTGTGGTGGGTGGCTTCAAAGAGTGTCACGGAAAGTGGACATGCTGTTGGTGACAATGCTCCACTGGCATACCCGACAACAAATTAGCTCCCTGTTTCCTTGTCCTGGGCTGGCTGTGTCGCAAAACAGTTTGTTAACATTCATTTAACAATTCTCTCGAGGGAGAGGAAGGGAAGGGAACTGACCTTAATTGGACGCGCAGTTCCAGCCAGGTACACAGGTCTCGAATTTAATCTCCTCAACAGCCTTGCCAGACAGGTAATATTATTATCAGGTGTTCCATTTCATAGGTGGGGAAATCGAGGATCAGAAAAGTGAAGTCACTTTCCCAAGGTCACACAACTAGGAAGAGGTGGGGTTAGTCATTCTAACCCCAAATAGACTTCAGGACCTCTATTCTTCCTGCTATACTGCATTGCCTTCTTTGGAGGGGTCCCAAATATTAGAAACAAAGTAAGTTGTTTCAATTCATTTCAATTACACTCCTGGAGGCAGCAAAAGGCTACAACAAGATGTTGTAATTCAAGGGTGGGGAATTAATCTGTGATCTGAGTCATCACGGATGTGGAAATTGGGGCGATCCTCAGAGGCCCCCATGCATTTGTCTCCCTTGTGCCCCTCTTTCCACCTCAGCCACTGGGGCTGGGAAATGAATTACGGAGGAAGCTCTCCCTAGATGAGAAAAGGCAAAAATAGATACAGCTTCCCCCTGCATGCCCCTGCTCCCCCAAAGCTCTGTCATAAACAATCTGTCCCGCCTTGTTCTGGCTGTGGGAGTCCCTCTTCTTCTAGATGCCACCTCACCTGTCCAGGCACCCTTAGGTTCTTAAGAAACACAACCTGGGGACATTTTATAGCCAAGAATGCATCTACCCTGAATTCTTCTTTTTTCCTAACCTTCCTGGAGACTTGACCTGACAATGCAGAGCAGACACCTGGTACTCTGACAGCACCTTCTTGGAAGTCCAGAGTCCAAAGCCAGCCCTAAGCAGCCCTGCCCTCCCTGCCCCCAAGAGATACCCGTCGTGTCAGCAGGCACTCAGAAGCCAACATCCAACACCGAGCTCTGCAAGGGAGGGGAGCACAGGGGCTCTCCTGGCGTGTGAACCCCCTTCACTTTTCCAGTAAGACCTCTCCCCTTGCACGGGCAGGGTAGCGGCCACCCTTGTGGGCTCCTGACCTCCCTCTATTGTGTGTCCCAGCTGCCTGCAGAACCCTTCCTGCCACAGAGCCTGACGGGAAGTGGGACCCACCTCTCTGATGCTGCCTTTCCCTTTCTCCCTCTCCTGCTCGGTTTAACCGTTAGGGACACAGCGCTGCTCTGGGCCTGGCTGCTGTGGGATTGTTCTTGGTCTCACACTCCAGGGTGGGCGCTCATGCTGTGGTGTCCGGCCCGAATGGGGCGTGTCCAGAGAACCCAGACTTTCCCTTTCCAGGCCTTTTGGGGAAGAGCCTGAGGGCAATGGAGAGGGTGAGGCTGTGGAACTTTAGCACCAATTAGCTCTAAGACAAGAGGGAAATATGGTGTGTTATTTGAGATTTGTCTCAGGACTAGTCACAGCAGGGACATGCTGCATGCTTGTTGGACACGATGGGGCTGAGCAAACCTGCCCTCATCTGTGCACACCATGCTCCTGCTCCAAACCATAAATCAAGTCACATTTTCCCTAGTGACTCCAGCCTCCACTTACCCTTTGCTTCCTTAGTTCTCCTCTAGTTCCCATCTATGCCAAGCACTGCAGCCCGCATCCTGCACCGTTTTACCTGTAAATGCCTTGCCTCCCTGTCCAGAGCCTCATGGGGTATTCTGCATGGTAGGGAGACTCTGTCAAAATGGGGTTGTTTGAAGTGACTTAGGAAAAGTAGGGGCTTGGGCAACATTAGCAATGAACTGAAAATTCACTTACAAGACATAGCATTAGCCAGAAAGAATCTTGGCGAGGAAGGGCCAAGCCTGGCTGGATGGTAATTGGTTTAGCAAGGGCAATGCCACATTTAGATGGCAGCGCCCCAGCTCCCCTGCACTTGCATTTTGTGAGATTAAACCAGTACCTGACCTTATCAGGTTCTGATTTGGAGTCCAATAACTGCAGCAATAAGTGACCATCTTCTCATTGCATTGACCAGAACTCCCAGCTTGTGTTCAAGCTTTCAGGCACTAGTTGATTTTGTAACCCAGTATGTATTGTAAGTTCCTGGTTGTCCAAGCAGCCCTTTTTTACAGCTTTATAAATGTAAGCCTTGGTTACAGTTTATTTATGATTCTGGATAAGGCTCTCTCCTTCAAGATGTGAAGGCCCTAATGATTACCATCTGTGATAAGTTCCTGTAATGACAACTCAGAGGTGGGATTTACTGTACTACCTATTCTGACCTTCGTTCTTAGACATGCTAAGTCAGACCAGGAGGCTCAGGAGATTCATTTCCTTTAAAGATGAAGGAAAATTCTGATCCTGGGGAAAAAGCTGCTGGTGCCTGGGGTCGAGTCCCCATCTGGCTCAGATCTGTGGCGCTGGCCACTGGGCTGGGGAAGACAGGGGGCTAATTAATCCAGAAGCCTATTTACTTACTTCATGCAATTGTGACTCCATTATTTTCACCAGAGGCTGTCTCACCCAGAGACAAAATCAGGAGCCCCTTCTACCCATACTTCTGTTCATAACCCATATTACGATTCCCAGATGTTTTCAAGAAGGTCTGGAAGGATCCACAGAATAAAAGATGATCTCACATTTGTCGGCTGGAGATGGGATGAAGGCGGGGAGTGAGGTGTGGAGAAAGCACTCCCTAGGTCACCCCTCTAGCTGCTGACGCTGCATCTTGGCCAGAGCAGCAGAGGGATGGGGGTAGGGTGGGTAGAGGGAGAGGCAAGGAGTCCCCTTCCTATGGTCAGTAACATCAAGGGGTGCTCTCACAGTCACCTGGGCCAGAGCACTGGGCTTTGTTTCATCACAGACCCCCAGTATATTAGAGCTGAGCACCAAAGCCCAGTGCTCTCCTAAGCAGCTAGAGGGAAAGGGACAAGCTCACAGCCTCTGCCTTGCCCCACTGGGGGACACCCACAGTGTGACGTGGGGCAGGAGTGATCACACCACCTGCCAATTACAGACATTATGAGGATTCACTTCACCAGGGATGGTGAAGGACTCTGAACTGTGCCAGGCATATCATGTTTGGTAAATGAAGTTGAGTCTGAAGCTGTCTCTCTGTAGTCAGATAAACAGTTGCTCAGACACAATAATGACCTCGTGAATAATGGCCTTTCTAATGGTAGAAAGGCCAGTAGGAGGTAGTATCAGGTGTTCTGAGTCCATGTTGAGTAAGCTGCAGACTAGAGCTTCTATACTCCACACCTGGCTTTTAGGATAGAATCGGTAAATAAGAAAAAAATGCAGCTTTGGTGTGACCAAAGCAGCCCCCAGAGCCTACCCTTTTGTTACCTCTGATAGGACCTCCCACAGGGCCTAGCACACAGAGTTGGTTGATGATGCAGTTACATGTACTTATCTTCCTAAAAAAGGTGCAGACTCAGCAAATATGAATCCCTGGGGTAATTTACAGTAAGATGCATGGTCTTCATAAGAGGGGTGTGGCCACAAATTAAGTTCTTAAAACCTGGAGCCAGAGATGCCAACACAAACACCATAGCACTTAAACCATATAATTGGCCTAAAGATCAGTTTACACGACATCATTTTTTTTGCTTGCGAGAGGATAATAGAAAGGCCAGATGTTCTCAGTGTCATATATGCCAGCAAATCTGCACCAGTGTTTGCTTAAAAGGTTGCTAGGACTATTGGAGCTCTTTTTTTCATAACACTGGTCTTTGTAACCAGTTTAATTCTCTACAGTATTGTTTTTGGGTGGTTTGATTCAGCCCAAGATTTGGCTTTGACCTCAGTTTACCTCGGCTTCTTCATTTACAAAGTTTGCCAATTATTTTTACACTTTAGCAACAAAATACTCTGATTAAATTCTAAGAAGAAAATGCAGTGGTATTTCCTGCTAAGTGGTGACTTAGCGGGATGCTAGCCAGCTTTTCTTTTAGGATTGAAAATGTCATTTTGACCTTGCTGTGTCCGATTGTGTTGGGAGGATTATTAGAAATGTTTAGGCACATCATCTTCTTCATTTATTATCAAAATCCTATGAGCTAAGTACCATTATCTTCATTGTACAGAAAGGAAACTGAGGCCTCAGACCTATTTAATTAACTTGCCCAGGGAAGCGCAGCCAGTAAGTGGTAGAGTAGGATTAAAGCCTAGTTCTGCTTGCCTTAGGAATTCATCCTCTTTTTACTGTATTATCCTGAATATAGACCCAACATGCAAACAATTTCTTGAAGGACTTGTAAATGGTATCACACAGTGTAGTACTTGGCCATAATCCATCAGCTCTTGACAGCCATCAAGAGATTTTTTCAAAACATAAGTCTGATCAATTCACTCTCTAGCTCAGAATTCTTCAATGGCTCCCCCTCACCTTTAAAATAGAATTCAAACACCTCCAAAGGCATATGCAGTACTTTGAGATTTGGTCCTTGCTTACATCTTTCAGTGAATTTCTTACTCTTTTATTGGAAGATGTCAGCCTGGACCATCCTGAGCCCTCCATGAATATTTATTCAATGCCACGCAGTACTTGTCTCTGAATGTTTCCCAGTGTAAACGCTGCTCCTCAACAGGTTAGTGAGCATTTCTGAGGCAGTGTCAGAGTCTTCCCCTTTTGAACCTAGTGCTGCTATAAAGATCTCAACATTCAAGTTCATGTTGGCGTCCCAAAAGTATTGCTCATACGAGGGTACTTCAAAAAGTTTGTGGAAAAATAGAATGAAAAGATAATGTAAATCTTTCCATGAACTTTTGGAAGACTCCTCGTATACCTGAGGGTCTCTGAGGTGGAGCAGGACTTCTTAGAAAGCTCAGATTTTCCCCACAAGTTGAG